GCGGGGGGGGGGGCAGTTGCATCGCGCACAAATTGCAGAGGAATGACCATCAAGGAGGAGCAGGACACAGCGCTATTGAAAGTGTACCGATTGAAGTAGTGTTGCTTGTGAGCGACAAAATGGCCATACAGGGTGGCAGTGGAAACTCCTGAATAAAGAATGAACTGATCGGTATAAAAACTTTCAGTGCCAATCGTTGTACAGAGTCTGCCTTGTGAAAGGTGTGTACTTTAAACAATGTGCGTAGGCACAGGCCTATCCTTAAAGAGGTGTGACCCCATCTACGCTAATTTCCATTCTTCTACAGCTTCCAGGGATGAATGCAGCTGAAACCCGTGATGGCAGTGTCCAGCAGCCTGGCAACGTACAACCGGTGAGATATCGATGACATACTGAGAGGTGGAAGTGAAATCGGTTCTGCAGCAAGGGCAGACATTTCGAATTTACATATTGCGACATAGGAAGAACATTACTCATAAAGTATTCAGTAAATACGGGAGGATCACTTCGAAGACTGGCATACCACAATCGAAGCGAAGCGATCAACTGGTAGCATGTGATCATCCCCGTTTAACCCCCTGGTCTGCCTCAATATTTCTGGTACAAGTGGACGGTTTCACCGGATTCTACGTTGATTACCGCACACTGAATATACTCAGTCGTTTCCGCCAATACGCGATGCACTGGATATCCTCAGTAGAGCAAATGACCTTTTACGATTGATCTAGCCAGGGTTACTGACGGGGAAAATAGAACCAAAGGATCAACCGAAAATGGCGTTTAGCGCATATTTTGGATTCTATCAATTTTTCAGGTTTGTGCAATGCCCCGGCTACTTCGCAACGAATCATGGAATTGGTACCATATTGCATGCAATGGACATTGTTTCTAGTATATTTGGAGGGGCAAGTTGTGTTTGAAAAAACATATGGATGGACTGAAAGACGTGATTACCTCCTTAATTGAAGTGGGCCTGAAAGTGAAGCCAAATAAATGCTAGTTCTACGTGAAGCGTCATATCAGACTAAAGCAATTCCTTGGACGCAAGGAACGGTGGTAGTATTCATGGCTGGTAAAACATCAACTGTAAAACTGGTCTTCGATAGTTCTTTGTGCTGGCATTATACTACA